ATTCCAACTATAGGAGCGTTTAAATCAGGTATTAAAACATGGCTATTTGCCTCAGCATTTACATCAGCCCGTGCTCTGTTGGAAATCATTTATTGTATGTTTATTATACGGCTCCTCACAGCAGCAGTAGAATGCTCCATTGATTTGAATGTAATTTCAAAACGTTCTACCGGTCATTATTTTCTATAACGGACCTCTCAAAACAATAATGACCGCTGCCCATGGCAACGCACTCTCTGCTTGTCTTTCAAATGCGTGGATAACTCCGCAAGTAGTTCCGGCCACTCCGGAGCTAGCCACGCTCAATCAACACACTTAAATGTTAATCGGAGAATACTTATACATATACATTCTTCACACACGTGCACAGAAATTCGGAATTTTCTGTTCTTGTCTTCATGACAAAAATACTATTTCTCTGCATCAAAAAGCGATCGTGAAAAACCCGGAAGTAGTTCCGGCCGCTCAATAAACGCAAATGCCAATCAATCAACGCAATGAAATGTTAATCGGAGAGTAATTTATACATATCCAGTCTTAATACAAGTGCACGGAAGTTTTCAGAATTTTCCGTTTACGTTTTCATGACAAAAACACTGATGTAATGCGAGAAAAGGCGATCCCGAATAACCCGGGAGTAGATACCGGCACATTTTAAGATACCGGCTTTACAAAGCTTTGATTCAGCGGAAGTTACTCAAATATTTTTCATACTTATATTACTCAAGTTACATGAAGAATTGTTTCAGCTCTAATTGCAGGTATGGTTTTCGTCTTCTTCTTTACAGCACATCACCATAAATTCTAGCCTGACTCTTGCCAGACCCTTGTAGTTCTGCCATGCTCCACCAGAGGCGTTTCGTTTCACAAAGGGTCTGGGATCAAGCGCATTGCAAACTCCTTCAGGAGATCAATAAATTATTGGCCAATCAAGATCGCCGGTGTTACGTCGGGTTTGCAACGCCTTCTCGCCGTCTCAGCCAAATCAAACCAAGATGGCGGACATAAAGTCCGTGAATTTAAAAAAAGTTTAAATCAAAAACTAATTAAGACACGGATGTCATTTTTAATGCAATTTGAGGCGAGATGTTGATAGTTCTATGTTGTTGTATGTGTGTTTTAAGAGTAAAATATTCGTGTAAAGTTTGGTTTAAGAACACTACGCAGCAGAGTTGCCTTGTAGGGTGGTTTTCTGCATGCTTTTTTCCAAGCAGCTTGTAGAAATAAAATAGACAGAAAGACAAACAACAGAATCATGTTAGCCCAAGTCGATTGCATAACGTTTTTAGCCGTTTCTTAAGGTATTCACACAGGTTTTAGGCTGGAAAATCTTTCTAGCATTTGGCAATCTTTCTAGCATTTGGCAATCTTGCACTGCGGTGAGGAGTCGTGTGCTGATTTGTGTGCTTCGATGTGAGTACAGTAATTGAAGGAACACGTCATTAACAGACAAGTGGTTTATCCGATCACATACAGGGATTTTGTTACAAGGCCCCGCCTTCTGAAATTCATACGCTATGAAGGAGACCCAGAACCTTATGTGAAGCCAGGGCTGGACTGGCCATCGGGCGTACCGGGCAATGCCCGAAGGGCCGATGCCCATATTTGGGCCGGTCTGTCTGCCTCATACAAAAAAGATGTTTGTGAAAAGTGTAAATCCGTTGAGAAATGTTCGAGGGGAGCGCGCGTGTCCGCGGGGCACCTGCTGTATCTACTCGAACGGGATTCCACCACCTCAGCGGCCGCAGTGTTCCCGCATCCAGCGGCTCTGAGCTGGACGCGGGAACCGCTCACCGGGAACCGCTCACAACACAACACGGGGAGCGCGTAGTCGCAACGTGACCATGTACCCATGACCATAAACGCGCACAGGACCATGCATGTCTTTTCGTAATTTGTGCACCCAATAAATACACCGCTGCAGAAAACAGTCCGCGTCTCCCCTCTCCTCTAAATTAAAGCTCGGGTACCTAAATTTTCAATTGCATTAAAAGTTCATGTTTGAGCCCAAAAGTAAAATGTTGTGAACAGATTAAACAGATTTAGAGCCAGCCAATGGCTGACATTATGCATTTCAGTCTTTTTTGACCAATTCTCATCCCTGTAACAAACAATATTGTCTGTGCCCACCTCCCTCACTCTGAGACATGTTTATTACTCTGTTTAATGTGGACTAGTGTACTTTATTTTATTGTTGAAACTGCAGACATCCTGATCCTCTACAGTATTTGCTTCCACATACTGTATAAACCAGGGGTCGGCAACCTTTAGTGCCCCTAAAGTGGCTCCTGGAGCCTTTTCAAAAATGTCTGAAAATGGAGTGTGAGGGCTATATTTTATTTCTAGTTTCAATGTGGTTTCTGTAGGAGGAAAAACATTCTTGACGTTTTTCAATGCTGCAAAAACTTGTATAAGTAATATTCAATTTTAGCATTTCTGTCAACGTAGTGCGTCATATCCTGTGACGCGGCCCGCGCCAGGCGGCCGCTGCTGTAAACTAACCGGCGTGTGCGCATCATAGACTGTGTGTGCGCATGGATCCCAAAGATAAAGAGAGAGAGTCGATAAGACTGGACTAAGAATGAGAATGAACATTTGCTTTCAGTAAATGAAGAAGGACTGCTTCATGTTTGCGATGTAATGAAAAGTTTTGTTGCAACAGGAGGAACAATGAAGCTCTAAACACGTTCACTGAAAGATCGATTCATCATAAAGTCAGAGCACCTATTTTCAGACTTCAAATACCTTCGCAAAGACGGTGAAAGAAAAGGCCATTAAGGACATTCAGCTCCAGCAAACTTCAGCCTGTGATGGATATAAACAGACAGTGATGCAGGTGAACTCGGAGCCAAAAAGCAGATTTATTTACTCTATTTGTACAATTGCATGAAGGTTAAACTTAAAGCAGAGTCGTCACGTGGTGTGTCATTCTCTCAGGACACGCTGCAATGAAAATACACATTTGATAATCATGAATGGTTTTTATGTGTTTGTAGCCTTTACTTTGTCATTTAGATATTAGGCTAATATAGCTAATGTAGCTAATGTAGCTAATACAGCTTCAGCCCGTTACCTTCATATAAGCCTTATACAATGCTGTTTTGTTTTTTTTGCGGCTCCAGACAGATGTTGTTTTTAGTTTTTTTGTCAAATATGGCTCCTTGAATCTTGAAGTTGCCTGGGCCCCTAAGAAGGAAAAAATGCCCGGGCCGTTTTTTTGTCCCAGTCCAGCCCTGTGTGAAGCTCAGCGAATTAAAAGAGTCTGGCAAGAGATGGCTACAAAAAATTCAGCATTACAACAAAGAGCTGACAGCAGATATTTGATTATTTTATTTGTCCCCAAATGTACTGAAATATGTGTATTAGAACAAAAGGAGTATTTCTTCAATAATTTTAGAGGCATCTCCTCTTACAGTAAACCATATCAACAAAGGACAGTTAGTGTGTACTGGTGGTGGTGGAAAATAGCATGCACAAAAACCATTTTGAGAAGGACGCAGTGGATTTTGCATAATATGTTCAGTTATTATGTAATTCACTTTAAATTAATTAAATGATACTCAGTGATTCATGATTTTTCTTTTGTCAACAACAATTGAACTTCCAAGTAAGTAAAACAGTACCAGACTTGTTTAAATTGCATCATGCTGTTTTATCCCAGTGTAGGGATGTAAAAAACTATGCATTTTCATGACCGACCACCGAGCCTCATTAACCGGTTGAAACCGGTTAACCGCGTAGTTTAAAATATTCCACGTTCTTTGAAATAGCAGCCATTTCGAGCCGCGTACATTTCATAAGTTTATCTATGCGTTCTACTAGATCAGAGCTGAGACAGCGGCGCCAAAACCCGCAACAGCTTCGGAACCTTTGCGCACAGAGAACTGCTTTTTTAATCTTCCCATACTGTGCTGCAGGTTGAAGCATTTTTAAGCAAAAGACGGCTTGTTCACATGGTCAGAGCAGCGAGTTACACGCCGCGTCTCGCAGGTCTCCGCTAAAGTTTAAAAGTGATGTGTGTGGATCTGATCTAATGACAAGGACCAGCAGCACAAACATGTTTCATGTGTTTGACTGGGGCCGCGTATTTGCGAGGATTCTTTGGGCTGCGAGACACAGAGGTGCGCGACAGACCGGTATGTGTGTGTGTACAATACATGTATGTGTGTGTGTGTAAATATAAGCTCCAATGTAGTTCTGACCTGCACTAGTGTAGAACTTTGGCGGTAACAGAGGGGAGAGATGATGCGTGTGGATGTTACGTATGGAGGGGGGGAAAGTGTTTGTGTGTGTCTGTGTGTGCGCGCGCGCGTGCGTGTGCGTGGCTGCGTGCATATGTGGAGCGTGCGCCATGAAAGTCGCCCGTAGTCTACTAATGCATTGGCGCACACAGCTAGATACGGACCCGCTCGTCACATCGTACAAATAGGGCTTATTAATAGCCTTATTAAGAGACCTCCGCTTTTTCTTATTTTTAACCGACAGCTTTGACCGGTTAACGCTGTGACGGTCAACCACCGGTTAAACGGTCACTGATTTACATCCCTATCCCAGTTGTTTGGCAGCAACATCAAAAAGATTATTAAATGTAACTAGGAACGTATTCCTGATTTATCCAGCACTTTTGGCTCTAATAAAGTCACTTTATAATTTGGTGTGATAATTTAGTGGTACGCTACTAGTGTAGCCACTGCTGCCCAGGGTAGAGTGACAAAAGTGGGGGCAATCTGCACAGGATGCCCCATTGGAGCCTCTGCCCAGCACCAATCACGCACACATTGAGCATCACAGATGTGGAGAATACTCAAGCGTGCAAGACACTTTGGCTATCACTGTGGAGAATCTCAGTGGTCTCCCATCCAAGTACAAACCAGTCTTCACACTGCTTAGCTATGGAGATCTGATGAGTGGTGTGAGGTCTAGAGGTTGTGTTCCCTTCCTGAACACTGTCATAATATTTGTGACGTACACATATCTGGCATGACTTTGCTCTGACTCACCTTGAGATGTCCGGGATGCATGTTGGCTCGCTGGCACATGGACAGGAAGTGGGGTACGGAGGCACGCTCCAACAAAATGTAGACCGACACCTTTCTTTTGAACGAGGCATCTAGGAGATCTCTGAAAATGTCCACATCAGTGAAGACGTCCATGACTACAGCAATAACCTAAAATACCATAAATAAAATACTTTTTAAAATGAATACTTTCTCTTACTGTCAACACCACATGTTGCAATATTTGTGTATGCCTGTATGTCAAACAAGTAATGGATGAGTTGTTCCACAGGTTCAACATATGTAAGCATTGCATGAAACGATTTATTAGGCTAGTGATCATCAGCATCACGCCTACTTTTTCTTCTTCAGGTGAATAAACGGAAAACAAAGAAGTGTGATTCAAAATTGAGCCTTTTCAAACACTCATCATCAATCAGCTGTCTCACCAAGAGATGCTGGGAAATAAGCATAAAATACAGAACAGACATGTCATCTGTGACTCATGTGTCTGCTCCCTCATATGTCCAACTGGACAGCTGGGTTTTTATGAGTGTTGTAAAAGCACACCTCCGCTCACATGCAGCGACAAGACACTGCTGTTGTTCAGAAGCTGCAGGTGAACTTTACTCTTACACCTGTCACAGTACACTGTACTCTGGACGGGCCTCACCACTGGAGTTAGAACCGTTTGTAACTGTTTATATCTCGAAGAGGCTGTCTGGGGAGCTTCCCAAATTATTAGGCGAAAAGAGAGATATCAAATCCGTTTAGAAAAAGTCTAAAGTCAATATAATTAGCGCGGAACCTACCTTCTGCGCCTGCGCAATCATCTTTCGGATGATCTCTTTGATGTGCGTGTGCCCCTGCAGCGGAGGCTGCGTGTGCACAGTGGTGCGAGTGACCCCGCGGTAAGACTCACTGTCGGGCCAGCCCATGTCCAGCTCCGGGGTGCTGATGTCCGACAGCTCGGGCCAGTAGCGCATGGATATAGGGCTTTCATCCTCCCCATCCTCCCGGTACACGTCCACCCCCGGGTCATAGGGCTCCACTGTCCCCACCAGAGCCTCGAGCTCCAGCTCGGATAGAAAGCCCCTGAGGCCACGTGCCTCCAGCTGCTTGAAAAACGCCTCGCGCCCATCACGCAGCAGCGTCTCGAGCGCGAGCCGCTGCTCCTCACAGTACAGGAACTCCGCTTTAGACTCGTGTGTGCGCGGGTTTATATGGTTATCATCCAGACACTGGATCTGCGACAGAGCCATGCCTTAGACGGACACCTTCTACACTTCCCTGAGGAGGTCTATTGAGGGAAATATATCCAGCTGAAGTCCCGCTCAAACACAGGAGAGGTGCTCAGCTCATGTCCTGTACAACATTTCGGCCCCATGGAGACTTCCCGTAACCAGCCATCACGTCCACGCTCCCGGCGAGAGGCTTCTGGAGCAGAGAAACACGCTCCTGTGAGTGACAGGCGCCTGAGTACAGGCACCGCCCCACAGGTGTGACCTGACACACGGGCAAACACACACTCACACCTACACCACGTGACCTGATCTAACCTGCCGCTCTGGGCTCACGTCAGCAGCTCATAAAAGTGTGTTATTGTAGTCAGTCATGTGTCCCTAGACATGAAACAGACTGGAGCAGCAGCAGACTCTTGTTCAAACGTGTTGTGGAAGCTCCTCCACACTCAGGTGTTATCCATGCAGGAAAATTGTCGTTTGGATTCATTCACCTATACTTCTATTGAGGAGCTACTGTATTCTCACATGTCATTCTACTGAGCTTTTGGTCTGTTTACAACACACTCAGTAAAAGTAAACCAGCCATAGCTTGATTGACAGAAATTTTAAATATAATTATGGTCAAAGTTTCTGGGACAGCAGTCGGTCAGACAGGTTCAGCAGTTTTCCTGGATGTCCGGGCGTCCATGCCTGTCACTGATGTCACAGTTTAGTCATTCGTGTTAAATCATTTGTTTTAATTTCCCTCCTATTTGTCATTCAAATACAATCACCTCTATTATCAACTCTCGACAGTGGTATTTCACTATGAATATGTTCATATGTTTTCAGGCACCCACAGACTGCTTCATCTCGACTTCTGAAAGCTGCCACTTTATTGACTAATGCTGAGTTCCATTCGTTCTCGGTAGTTGGAGCTTGGACTTTGGACTAACATTTTCTACAGTGTCTAATTTCTTTTTTCAAGTTGGAAAAGCAACAACCAGTTCTCACATATTTGTACATCAACAACTCACAGAGAACACCTGTTACTGCATTTTTTATTGTGTCATTGTGTGTTTGACTCATTTCAGACTGCAATTATAGCTCAACATATAAAACTAGGACTATGTGGTATTTTTACCACCTAAAGATAATGGTGAGATTGCAGTAATTACTTATAGATTACTTTATTCAGTGACATACTCACAAGGAAGACAGTTCCTCCTAAATCACTAAAATCACAAAACCAGCAGAAATAATTACTTTATACATTTTTGTGCATTGCTTCTTATGATAAACATGGATATCATACATGAATAAATACAGACATGGTAACAAAATGATCTAGGCCTCTGGTATAAAATACTGGGAGAATTTTCTCACACACACACAAAATACATGTATTTGTGATTCATTGGATTTCTCATAATTTTAGAGCTAAGTATGTCTTCAAAAAATGAAAGACACTAAAGTTAAATACTACCAGGAGCTAGCTAGTATATATACAGATTACAGAGGGTCAGAAGCTAAAGATAAAATTGTGACATTGTGTCTCCCCGCATGTTATTTGTACACCGCAAAAATGACAATCCGGATAAATGGAAATGACTTGTAATGGGTTTTGAATGTATCCACCTAATTTCACAGATTTTTTTAAATTCCAAGTCATTTTAATTGATACCATACATTTATGCAGTGTAAAGTGCAATTGAAAACCACTCATTACCCATTGTTTAGAAACATATATTTTTGCCAGTATTCTATTTACATAAAGCCCTCTTGAGAGTCCAGTTCACATCCCAAACATTCAGAAAAAGATGTGTTTTTTTGCACAGACCATGGCGATGCAAAAGCGTCTTTACTCCAGCCTTCAAATGCTTTCAAGGTTAGAAGACTGCACGACTGACGGCTTGCAATACCCGCAGTGCATGCTAGACACCCCACTTGACTGTATGAAAGTTTTAGTGTGACTATGTGATTGTCTTGGTGCGTCAAGAAAATGGAAAGGTTAAAAGTTTACGGCCCCTGCTAGCAGTGTTCAGACAGAAACGAGGATACCACCTGCTGTGCTGTCAAATGCATGTTTGTATCAGGCTCCAGGTAGATGATTGAGAGGTGGTATAGCGCGCCTTTCTCATAGTCATTGTAAAAGCTAAATTGAAATCTCTAAAGCGGTAGGGGTGACGTTTTTGGGGTGAGTTGCAAAAATTCTCATTGTCACATTGTCATTGGCAGTGATATATGGGCTGCACGTATTCCGGAGGGAAGTAGCCCACGCGTCCGTGGCACCGGCCCCTCCAGCGCGTGGAGTCCGAGCAGTCCACCAGCTCGATGATGTCGCCGCGGAGGAAACGCAGCTGGGACTGTTGATGAGGGGTGAAGTCAAAGAGGGCGTGGGCGTGGTGGGGGCGCTGCAGGAACACAAGAAAAGTGACATGTAAGTATGTATTCTGAAATGGTCAAGTCTAGTGTTCTATAATGCACGGTTTTGTTTAGTGAAATCAAGGGAAGCCAACCACTTAAAACTTGAATACTCAACGTTTTTTTTGGTTTCATGAACACATTTTGCTTGTCCCAAAAGAAAGAGGGTTGTGCAAGTAACATTTAGTGAACAAATCAGACCACAACATGCTGGTTTGATCTTATAAGAAAACATTTTATCCTGATTATCTGATTACCCTGATTGGCTAAGTGAGGCCTGGTACTGAAGATTTCCCAGAGGCCACAAATACATTCATGTGATAACTAGTGAAGTGGTTGAGTGGATTTTATTACATCGTTAATTCTTTGTGGTTTCAAAGTGAGGTGCTCCACCACACTCCATTATACCTTGAATTATGAGTTTGTAATGAGAATTCAACTCACTTTAGGAAAGTGTGTTTCCTGTTCTTTAACTTAAAAAATAAATAATACAAATGGAAATTATGGCCGTTGAGTCCACCAATGGAGGTATAGTTGACTGATTCTTTCATTTCAATTTCTGTGAAAATGTGACAATTAGAAAATGAAAAGACATGGAGCAAAAGACTGGAAAATGTTGGTATTATGATCATTATCTTGAATCAAAATAATCATGTTTAGAATTATTTGTAGCCCAAATGTAAATGCAATTTTGCGTTCTAACCCTACTGCTAAGGTGCCCAGAATCCCATTATGTACTTCACTTTGAATGAACACAATGCACACTAGTACACCGTACACTAAATTATTAACTTGTATGAAAGCTGGTGTAGGCAAAATGCAGCAGAAATTGCTGATTCTGGGTCAAACCTTTCAAAAATGACATGTAACTTGTAGAAACATTAAACCAACTGCTGGAGGTGGAACTTTGGCCAATAACACCTTTTTATATTTAAAATCAATGTTGTGGCTCATTGTGGAATATTCATAAATGTATATGTGTCATACACCTGAAAAGTATTACATCCTTGAATTGCTTCAAACGAAATCTCAAAAACCACCTACTTTCATGCCCCAGCCCTCTAAGTTAAATTTCATTTTTTGTTTCCTCACCTTACACTTATTTGCTATGTTTTTGTAAACTACGACAGACTTTGTGTCAAACTATATTATTTCAATATTAGATTATGCTATGATTATTATTATATTTTTTTTTAATATTTGTATGCAATCAATTATTATATTGTCATCATTTGTTACTATTATTATTGTATGATTTGATGTGATATTGTTATTTATTACAAAAATTATGTTATGAATTGCTACGTTATTGTTATTTTTGTTTAACTGCGATTGACTCTCTAATTTTTATCATTTCGGTATCAAGTTATGCTATGATTTGATGTATAATCTTTATATGCAACCACTACTATTACTACCATTACTATTTTGTCAGTATTCTGTTATTATTATTGTCTGACTTGTTATTGTTATCATTTACTACTATAATTATGTTATGAATTGTTAGATTTATGTTATTTTTTGTTAATTTAAATGGGGGAAGACCCTGTATAAGCCATTATGGCTTTTTTTTGTCTTCCCCCAGCACGTATATTTTCTTGTTCTATTATGTAATACAAAATGATTTTTACATGTGCGAATGAAAAAAATCAATACAGTTTATTAAACACCTCTCAAAACATACAATATATTTCCCTTTCACTCTCTGGATTAAACTGTAATTAGATTGCCTTAAGAAGTGGAAGGGTAAGTCCATGTTCAATGTTCCTTTTATTATAATCATTCAATGTAATATGGACAGAGCTGAATCTATATTGACATTACAGTACATCCGGTTACATTCAAATAGTCCATCTTCAATAAACAATGTGCTCCTTTATTTCTTCAAAGTATAACATATTTTATTCATAGTGCTCATTTAACTTTTATTTTGCAGGGCCTTGGTCTGTCCGGTTATGGTATGAAATATTTAAGTCACCAAGACAGCAGCAGCTCACCAAAATAGATACAGTTTTACTCATTAGAGAGAGTGTTAGATTTGAAAACACGTTTCAGATACATGTCGGAAACGACATAGTATTATTCTAATCTTTAATGTCTCAATAACAAAGCAATAGCATTTCAAAAAGATATGTTTATGTTTTTAGTGATAAAATATATGATGTTTTTAGTGATAAAATATATGATGTTTTTAGTGATATTCATTTAGTAAAATTATCAAATTGTACATTGTCACAAAGGCTTCAACAAACGAACTAGGAAAAGTGGCCTGGCTTGTTGCCACAGGGGTGTGAAGACGGCCTGCGGTCAGAAGGGTTATGGTGCTTTCAGACCGCCAACGCTGAAACGCTGAAGCCCCGCTCACCAGACGCGCATTCTCTAGTTTTCTTCACACCGAGATGTCCTGACGTGCACCGGCAGTGCCGGAAGTAGCCGGCCAGCTCTGATGCTAACAGAGTTTAGCTAGCGGCTTCTTGTGTACAGTTCTTCTCCAATATGCAGCTTTGCAGCGTGTCTTTGCTCAGAGACCTTCCACGGGCTTTATACAACAGTAGTATGTGTTCACAGAGGTGCGGCATACGTTTTTTCATATTATTAAACGGTATTTCAGCATCGGCGAACACACTCGTCACTCGAAGCAGTTGCATAAGGTCACGGGAGCATGAAAACCCATATCTTCACAAGCACACAGTCCCCCATTGTCAACCCTGGTTTGAGTTCTGGTGAAGCCAGGTGTGGGTCCTGTTTTGGCTGTTTACGAGTATTTTCAGTCTGCTCGCTCAGTCCGCTAATGTCCCCGTGACCACTTTGCTGTTCTCTGATTGGTCGCTGCACGAACGTCCCGAGGAAAGGATGAGCAGAATCCATCTCCTGTGGGCGTCGATTTTTCGCTCCTGCTCCTCCCCTTTGACTTCTCTGCGTGCCGAGAGGTCCGAACGCTCGTCACCATAGACTTTGCATTGAAAGCCGACGCAACGCATGATCCGGCCTGAAAGCACCATTACTTTTTTCAACTGTGCCAGTCATTCGAGCTGGTGGCGCTAATACCAACTTCAGAGATTAAGTTTCCGTTTCTCTTCCTGTATAAGCTAGGCTACTGTGCACCAAAAATGTGATACTGTTAAAATGTCTTTGCCTTAACACCTCTAATGTGTTTAAATGACAGCACTAATATTTAACATACAAATATGTTTTAATATTTAGTTAAAAACATTGTAATACTGAAGTCGCTTTTCACAAAAAAATTAAAACAAAATTAACCATGTGAAAACTGGTACAGCCCTCCAGAGAAGGGCAATATCCAAATGTGGCCCTCAAAAGAAAATAATTGTCCTTCCTCGATGTAGCATCTTTGACATATTCCCTCACTTAAAAAAGGACTGAACAATATTCAAGCCTTGGCTCTCTTTGAAACAGAGTTGATACTAAACACCGACAGGTCCGATCCTGACACAATCCACTTAAAATTGCGTAAACTTCCCACAACCCTCTCACTGTTTACAGTTGTCCTTGTCTCGTCTAGACTAATGCTGTATGCTCACGGCTTTAACTGGGTGTGATCCACTTTGCACGAACACATTAGGCCCTTCCTTTTGATGCCTTTGTCTGCGTCTCTGGGGCCGTTTGTTTCTGCGGGCCAGCTTTGCAAGCAGCGATGGTCCGGCCCATGCGAATCAGCCGCGCTCCGCTGCCCTGTAATCAGCAGCCTCTCCAAAGCGCTGCGACCCACAGCGAAGGGAAAGTGACAGTGGAACAAATTACTCGCCATCGTCCACAGACTGTAGTTCTGCACTGAAAGCGAGAGGCACTTACTTCTTGCATGCAGGGTATTTTAGGCCATGATGCTGATCTGAAAGGACCCACAATGCTAAATTTATGCCACGTTATTCAATCTGTCTCTATACTCTGGGGATGAATGCTGTTCCACCTACTGATGCCATGAGGTGGTAAAACTGAAACTGCTCACTCTTTCCACATCTCATACGTTTCAGATTTTGTTTGAATCATATACATTAAAGCTGGAGTACCTAACTTTTGTATACATTTTTATACAGAAAGGTTTGTTTCAATAACATGCTGTGAACAAATCAGACTTATTAGAAAACAAATTTTACATAAGTCAAGCTAGTTGGCTGAGAGAGTGCTGGTACCCTCTTTTTCACTGAAAAAACTGATGGAAAGATATGACTAAAAATGAGGCTAAACATGCAACATGCAGGTGAAAACTAGTGATAGAATCCAAACTGTTTTGAGAGCAAGGATCTAGATAGATACTTTATTGATCCCCCGTAGAATATATTCATGTATCCAGCAGCAGAAAACTCATCATTGTCTTATACAGTCTGACAGCCGAAGGAACAAAGGATCTCTTAAAATTGTCTGTTCGGCAGCGCAGTTATAAGTTTGTTGCGATGACTCCTCTGAGCGGCCAGAGCGGCAGAGGGTGTCTGGAGTTACCCAGGATGCCCTGCATTAGAGCCCTCATCCTTCTCTCCAGTAGAGCTCCCACATCACAGAGACACATTCCTTATCAGCCTGTTACGTGGCTTTAGTTATTTTGTTAGGGTTTCACAGCTAGGCACTCCAGCTTTAAGACTGTTTACTAAGCTGGGCCGACAGTGGCTCAGTTGGAAGGTCGTGGGTTTGAGCCCACTACGAGACCTTCTCCACCTGCTCCCACTGATGTCTGCTGCCATTGTGTTCTTGGGCAGGACACTTAACCCCACTTTGCGTGAAGCCCCCGCTGAAAGATAAAGGCTGCACTTTCACTATTATTATTATTGTTATTATTATGCTATTATATTAAGCTTAATTTTAACTGCTTTACTGTGAGATAAGAACCTTTATTTGTCCCACAGTGGTGACTTGTCAATGTTGCAATGCACGGTAATTAACAGTAGGAATACTCTCTTTACAAACATGCGCTTCTATCTGGAGTTAACCCGACTAAATGAGCATGCAATGCGTCACAGCTCCATGTGCTCCACCA